ATGCACTAGGAAAACTTTGTATAATCTTTCAACTATGTGAATGCATGTGCAAACTTTATGACTGTGAAATCAAATAAATCAATACTTAGGAAACTCAGAACAAAAGACTGAAGTTATTTCTGGTGACTTGCATTAAGCAATTTGCTATGTGCTTAGCATTGTTTATCTAAGCTAATCATGGAAGATTAACCTTTAAAAATTTATATTGCAAAGTATGTTGATCCTATTCTTTGTTCTTAATGCTTTTAGCTCTGTAAACAGTATTTGACATTTACCAATACTAATGTCATGGACAAATGTTCCCCCATCCTGCAAATAATAAAGGTTTGAATTGTTTTCTCTTCCTTTTTTTTTTCAGGAAGGAGTTGAAGATTGGCAGCCATGCAGTCTTTTTTCGTTTTAATGGTGAATTAAATTATGATATGACTGTAGAGATCATTAGAAATTAAAATGTTAATACTGAAAAATATTAGGCAAGCACTCAGATTTTTTCAGTGGCCACTGTTTCCTCATTTTGTTTGAACAAAGGAAAAATACTTTAAAGAATGAATATGAGAAAAAGTGGCTGTAGGGTATGTTCTGATCCTAAATCACAGGGGTACTGAATTATGTGCATTGATATGAACCTCCAATCAGTCTTAATACTTTTGCTGTGATGTCATGTATGTTTATACCTACTTCTGATCTTTGTCTTCAGGTAGCGCTGTAATATAAATATTCAATATTGCAAATGGCAAAGAAATAACAATAATTCATGATAGAGTCAGTGCTTATATTTCCAATTTTCTAGTACCTTTTTTAAAGAGGAGTTCTGAGGAACAGTCAATTTTAAATCACTCTGCCAAGCTTTTTTTAATCTATGGTCTGAGCACCCCTCCTGCTCCATAAATTTCTTTGAAGAAAAGAAAAAGGCAATTAAGAAAGGAAAGTTCAAACATGTTATGCAGCAACTTTCATGCATGAAGTTATAGAGATTAAAACAATATTGGTAACCTTTGAAAAGAGAATTTATGGGACAGGCTCTGTAGCAGTGCTAATCCTTGGCAGTAATACAAAAGTGCTACAGATCTTTATTTCATATAATACAAAAGCTTTCATTGACATTTGATGGAATTGGAATATGTTTCTTTTAGCATCACAAGACATAATACCTCAAAGTGTGTGAATTTTATTTAGATGACATATAACTTGAAATGCAGAAGTGTTTCATACTCACCCATGTTTACCCTTTTATTAAAATCAAAAACTATTGTAACCATCTGAAGAAAGTCATATATGCAATGATGCTTTGGGGACACCAAGTGAGAAGTATGAGTCATGTAAATTACCACCTCAAACTAGACTATATTTGTAGTAAGATTAAGGACATTGGGTTTTGAGATGTATGTTGCCCTTTCAGATACCTAACTCAGAAGAGCTTTCAAGGATATAATTAAGCCTTTTTTTTTTTTTCTCAGTTACTGTTAAATCCAAAGTAGAAGTGGGCCAGGGCAGAAAACTGGAGTATTTTGACTCATATACAAATATTATTCACAACTAAATTCTTAGGATAAGGGAGACTACTGCAGCTTAACTTGCCATTTTGAGAATTTCTTGGAGCTTCAGGCAGATTCCTGATTTGAAAAATATATGTTAAGATACAGCATAGAAATTAGAAGTTTAATAACTGCTTCTGTTAGGAGGTGCTGCTGCTGCATCCACACAGGTTGGCAGAAAGTGTAAAACTAGGCTTCAGGTCTGCAACCAGAAGGCTGGACCAGCCTCATCTAAAGAATTTAGGTTTATTATTGGGGGGGGGGGGGGGGGGGGGGGGGGAGAATGAATCCCCTTAGCATCTCATGCAAGATTTAAAGGCTTTTATAAAGTCCAACAGATTTCTTCCATCCATTTTCTGCTGACTGTTGAAGAGCAATGGCAGATCGAAATATGTCACTTGCCTTGCTAACATCTTTTGAGTTGTTGTATCACACTAGTCAGAGTGGTCCAGAGTGTTCCACTTTTAATTGCAGCTGGTTCTTTAATCTTACTTCCTACTACATGGTGATTTATAGCTATGCAGCTAAAAGCATAAAACAAAACACAGTATCAGTTTAAGATAGGAAACAGAGGCTAACTTCAACAAAGTGAGATTAAACTGCTTCTGAAAAATGCTGTATGTCACTGCAGGTTGTCTATAAACTATGTGCATACACGGAATATTCATACAAGATATATGTATACAGTAAACATATGAAACACGTGTGATGTTAAGCATTTGATCTGGTTAAAACCAATGGAAACTGAAGTTTCCAAACCCAGCACAGGAGATTTTCACAGCATCCAGTCATACGTATCTGTTTCATGGGGAAAATGTAGCCTTTCTTCCAGAGCTCCGAAAGTTTGGTTCCATATGCGTGTTCAGAAAATGAGGCTTCAAAAAGCTCTGGCTCCTTTTTCATTTACTTCCTCTTGGATCCGCAATACTGGTTTTGACTCAGAACAGCTTAATACGGTTGTTTCTATTTTCTTTGTCAGTAGTCTGATACACTGTTATTACTATGAAGCAAAACATTCCAATGCAGTGTTTCTAGTAGGTCATTAATTTTATGTTGAAACAGAATAACTTTTTCCCTATTTCTCCTGACAGATATTCCTGATTTTGTATTAGACCAAACTTCTACTATCTTTATTGCTGCTTAAACTTTTCTGAAACCAAAGAAAGACTATTTCCAGCCAAGCTTATAGTACATAATAAATGGGAAATAAGATTTGCATAAATATGTTATCCTCTTCCAAGGCATTAATGTGTTACCCTTTGGTTCATTGACACTATTTGTTCTTTCTCCTTTGAATTAATGGGGGAAGACTTTAGACTTACAGGCATTTTGAAATAAAATGTTGGCCTGTAGGCCATGGACTAGTGAAATATTAAACATACTTCCTTTTACATTACTTACAAAATGAGGAGAAATCACACAGCTGACCACACTGCAGCTACTTAATGCTTCTGTAAATAGATCATAATAAGCATGTGGTATACATGATTGTCTAAGCTGATAAATGAAAGGGTGTGGATTGTTCAGCATCGGTGGAAGGAGGGGAACATGAAAAAAATCTTCCTGATTGCAGCTGCAAATGGTAGCAATTTTTCCTTCCTGCGTTAATGAATATAATTCATGTAATGCATAATACTTCATTCAACAGCAAAATTCTCACGTCCAGTTCACAGACATAAAGTATTTTAATTAAGAATATCAATGAGTAATGACAATCCACTTCCAGAAAAAAGAAAGATTCTTCTTTGGCCATGTAGAAGGAGCTGTGATGCAAATATAATTTATCAGCGTAATAAATTCACTTTCTTAGAACTCTTTACCAAAAGAATATCCTTTAAGCCATGTTGTTATTTATTTGTCTGTTTTCCCCTTGTAACCTTCTTTACATGCAGTATTTGACTGCAAACCTGCATTTTACAGTCTCTAGTGATCAAATCACTTCATCCTCCACAAATATCACAAATTAAAAGAGCTTTCATCTTTTAAATTCCAACACAACATACACAAAGCTAAAATAATTCATTGTCTAGAGACCATAATAAATTTTAATGTGCATTTACAGAGTAAACAGCGGGCTGAAAGGGGCCAAACCAGTGGAAGTGAAGGTATGTCTTACAAAATCCACACAGTACTGAAATACAAACTAAAAAGTGATGTTTTGCCAAAAAAAAGGAAATAAAGATGCCTATTGGTGGCATGACATACAGATATTATTAAAAACTGGCTTGAATGAGGACCAAAGTATGTCTACTCTGAAGTTATATCACACAGACTGTAAGCAATTTACAGAATTTAAGTTAGTTTTGCATATACAGGAGTTGCAAAATTAGAGAAAACACACTGAAATATAGAACACACACCAAAAAAAACAAAAAGATGTATGTATATATATCTATATATATATAAACCTCCGCGCAATCATCAGGGGTTGGCCTAAGTCAGTAGTTGCCCCCAGTGAACAAGAAACAAACAAAATATAGGAAAAAACATCACAGGATAAAAATGATAATAATAATAGAAACAAAAAGGAATCTAAAGAAAAATAGCCTAATTTGTTTTCAGAAAGGACATCCTCTAGTCTGCTTAGCTGCTTTGTAGATTGGCTTTTTTTCTCCTCCTTATTCCTCATGAAAAAAAAAAAGCAAAAATGAAAAACCAAAAGGCTTTTTGATAAAGTTTGTGGGGTGTCTTATTCGTGTTGATGTTTAAACCACAATGTTTTGTTTCATTGTTTGGCCTGTATTTGCTTCCAGGCTGGAACAGTTCTTTCAGTGTAGGAAACTAAATGTCATCCATAATTAATTTTGTAATACTGATAACTCACAGGCCAACCCCTGAGAAGTCAAGGATGAGGCTTCTCCTTGCCAAAAGAAAAGGAAACTAAGTCTTGCTGTTACAAAATGCTTGATTACATCACACCAGTTCTCTTAAAATGAAAGATCAGTGATACACAAAAGAAAATAAGATATATCAAGAAAACATGTGGTATCCTCTTCTTTTTATAATATGTATTTATTTTATTTATTTAGTAATTTTGTTTGTACTTCCTGCAGAAGGTGCTCCTTGTGTAGAGATTTAGAGTACATTGGGTGCAGAGTGGTGGTTGGAGGTTAGGGTCAACTTTGCTGTCCGCTCCATGGATTTTACAGGCGATTTGCTCTTTGCTTTAAGAAGAGAAAGTGATATTGGAAAAAGTCAGCACTTTTAGATTAAAGCAAAGCACCCTTCACAAAGCCACAAACAAGAAGCAGGACAGAAAGTCCATGGCTTGTAGCTATCCTCGCACCTGCGGAAGAAGTTATAAGATATTCGCTCATCTTGCAGATTTCCAATGCTCCTTATAAGGCTGTTTTAAACACATACATTTATATATTTAATTAGCTTGCCAGGTTGGCTCTGGTGCCCATGAATGTCTTGGCATGCACTGCAAATAACAACACATACAAAATATTTCAGTCCCAGGGAGGTTTTTTTTTTGTTTTGCTTTTGTTTTTTGTCTTTTAAAACATTATCCAGAAAAAACATATATACCAAGAGGAACAAACTCAAATACCTTCCACCTCAGAGTGTTCTTTACAAAATCATTTCCAGCATCACATCAGCTGCTAACAAAAATGTCATCTACAGGCTAGAATATTTTCTTGTAAAACAGAGGAGATACTGGCAAATGGCTGTGCTATTTACAAGGGGGAAACAGATTGCTAAGGAGTTTGGACTATTGTTGAGAAATTATGTTTTCATAGATTTTTTTTTCTTTTTAGAAAGCTATGAAAACAATGGTACATATCATTATTTCTAAACCCATGACTTTATATTAAGGATGTTGTCGAAATAAAAACATTTAGAACTAAATTAATTAAACTCAAATGTTTGCACACCAAGGATATAGCTATTTAGATGTCTTACATACCAAGTCTCAGCACCTGATAACTCCCTATATCATAAAGAATTACATTCAGAATTTATACATACTACTTGAGGTGAAAACCATAAATTTAATTTGGTTACAGTATGAATAAAAGTTCAAATTATAACAGGTTAATGTATGATGAATAGATTTTATAGCTGTGTTGTATACTTGAAAAGAATGAGTGTTATTGATGGGTACAGGCATCAATTCTATAACAAAGTGATAATGGTGTTATAAGCAGTCCATAATAATGCTGGACTTTTAACAACTGGTTATGTTTTAAAAAAACTATTAAACATGTATAAGCTGTTTTTGTAAAGAATTTTATATTAAACTGAATGAAGGATTCCACTGCAACCCCAATAAGCACATTTATCATCTCATCAAGAATATACACAATGAAAACAAAAAGAACTCAATGCAAATGCTCATTGTTTTAAAAGTTTTCAGATGTTTTGTACAACACTTGTACATCATTTCTCTGTATCTGCTAACAATGTTTGTAAGTGTAGCAAGAAGTATTTCTGTTCCTGTCTTTGGTAATTTTTTCCCTTCAAAAATGGGGATTAAACTAAATCCCAATTCTCTGAACACTGCTTCATTTTGCAAATACATGGTTTGAGACATTGCATACACAGTAGTTGCCATAAAAGACTCTTAAGTCTTCTGTCACATACACAAGAACTTCTAAGCAACAGTGATATTTCAATTATCCATGTGTGAACTGAATTTCTAAATGAATATTAACATTTAAATGGAAACATGTCTCAAAGACATTGCTAAGATTTTCAAATAAGTCCAAGGGACCTGTGAACTTTGTTCCTACTGAACGCAGGCAGGAGTGGGAAGCCTACTTTTCTCTTAGCCATCTGACAATGATACCCTACCTGTCCTACACTTCAGTAGTTTGCTGGGCTTCTCAAAACACTTGTTCTGCATTAGGTCATCAGCAAATTTATTGTAACTTCTTGCTGTGGGTTGTTCTCATACAGATAATGTTTATAATCTTGCCCCAAAGGTTGAGTTTAATTTCTGTGTTTGGTTATACTGCAGCATAGTTTTGTTCTCTGTTTTACACAAGATGTAACATTTGTCATTTGTCACATTTTTAAAAAGGCTTTTCTTTCCCTAAGTTAGCAGAACTTGGTTAGAATCCTTGTTAGAGTTAGATAATTTAATGATGTATTGAATTATTTTCACTTGGTTTATCTCATTTAAATATTTTTTTTTTTTGATTGAACTAGAGAAATACACTGCTCAAGATAATTCCAAAGAGGTCTTTGGAGACCCATTTCCTCTGCACAAAATATGTACAACACAAATAAGGATGAACACTCAGTAGAGTCTCAAGGATATTTTTATAAGAGCTTTTTTAACTGTTAATGGCATTATAATTTGAGAATTTGAAAGCTGTAATGTCTGGAAGAGAAACAGTATGATACAAAATAGGTTTGACAAACTATTTTGCAGTGGGAAAAGCAGCACCATAACATTTGCAGGCAAAGCAAATATTTATTTTGGTTTGTCTTTTTTTTTTTCAGTATGTCAATCTGTAGCTTTCCAAATTAGGGGTCATATATTGCATAAACATGAAGCCTTTTTATTTATAATGTTCAGGTTCTGCATAAATCATGACTTTCCTCCAATTCAGGGCATATGTTATAATTGCATGTTCTACAGTGACATATACGATGAAGTGCACCCTCATCTTTTCAGTGATTCATTATGAAATATAGTTGAAGTTTAAATATATTTAGGTTTCTTTTTTTCTGGAGATATGTAAAAGAATTGTATTTTTTCTTTCATGAACCCAAGTATTTCTTCAGATTTTGTATGGGTGAAAGCTGCAAATGAAGAATAATAACATAGCAAAGCAAAAAACAGCCTTTTTAGGTTTTTTTTTGCCTTTTTTGTATTCTGTCATATCTGCTCATACTCTATTATTTTGGTTTTCATCTTGATAAAGGATAAATGACCAGAAATAGGCAGAATTTTCCATTTTGACTGTGAATCTAAAACTTATAAGGTGTTTAAATGAAAGATTTAGTTTCACTATTTTTAGACTCAAATGTGAAGCAAAGGACAGATCAGAACCCAAATGTCTCAAAGCCACAAATTATCCACATTCAGACATTTCATGCATATGCGGTTTTGGTGTACATTTCTGACCAGAACTTAAACAGTATCACTGTAACAGTGAGCACAGTAATATAAGTAAAAATCTGTTGATCTGGCTGTGTATTTGCTAAATCAATTACTCATTTCCCCACCATTTCTAACATTATCTTTTAATTAACATAACGAGAACTAAAAGAAATTTTACTGCAGGTCAGTAACACTGGATTAAGCTATGTTAGCCTCAAAGACAGTAACCTGGACGAACAGCAGTAATACGTATACATATATTGTTTTTATATATGGGTCAAGGATTTTCATATTTTGACCTGTCAGCACTGGCATCCAGTTAAATGCTTCCTGTGAGATACAAATTCCCATGTGTTGTCTTTTGTTTCCTGCCACTGACATATATCCAAAAGAGCAAATATTAATTAAATACTCAACCTTCTCCTGCAAACAAATTCCGTGTTGCCAAACATGTGATCACAAGATAAGTTTTGTGCAGCAGCATGAAAGGGTAGTTAACGATATTAAGCTCTTTGTGATTTATTCAAATACATGATTTACTTAAATGCTAGAAAAACATAGATAAAACAATAGTGATAAATAATTGTGATCTAAGTGTTTAAGATGATCATAGAATCATAGAATGGTTTGGATTGGAAGAGACCTTAAAAATCATTTTGTTCCAACCCCCCTGACATGCGCAGGGACACCTTCCACTAGACCAGGTTGCTCAAAGTGCCATCCAGCCTGGCCTTGAACACTGCGAGGGATGGGACAGCCACAGCTCTTATGGGCAATATGTGCCAGTGCCTTACCTCCCTGATAGTGAAGATCTTTCTCCTAATGTCTAATCTAAATCTCCCCTCTTTCAGTTTAAATTCATTTCTCCTTGTGCGGTCCCTATACACGCTTGTAAAAAGTCCCTCTCCAGATTACTTTTAGGCCCTGTTTTAGGTATTGGAAGACTGTCATCTAATAAAATAATTTGTCTCACAGATGTTGAACCAGATTTCATGGCTGATAGTGTCTGTACCAAATAGCTAAACATCAATTTTGTTCTGTTAATGAGATTAATTTTAGAGCATCAAAGTACAAAATAAAGCGAGAAGCTATTAGCAAAACCTAACTGATGAAAAAGCTATTCTCTGCATGCTTCTGAGCCTCAATACTTGCCTGAAAACTGCATTAATTCTTACAGTTATGCTTACAATGAGTAGTGTATATTCACATAAATAACATAATAAACCTGTGAATTCAACAACACTGCTTTAATATTTTAATAAACGTTTAAGTTTAGTGAGGGTATCCATGAGTTTCCTATAATAAGTAAGACACTGATCACAATGGAAGACTAATGCCTAGTAAAGTCCCTGTTTTATGCTGACCAGTATAGCAGAAATACAACCAGTCACACAAAAGACTGTCCTATATTCTCTTTATGTATCATATGATGTCAAAATAGCCTTGCATATATATGGGGGGTATATATTCTGCTTCTGCTGAATATGAGTTGATTTTGCTGTAAAACTGGTTTCTAAAAGCACAGGGGCATTGAAAGCTTTAAAATTTTATTTTTCAGGAATTTGTGCTGATATTTTCCATCTTTAATACCTGGTTTGCTATTTTGCAACACTCAGATTTGCTTTTAGAGTTAGATTTGAACTAGCCTCCTTGTCCGCCACTGCAGAAATCACATGAAATCATAATTTTGTGCTATTTCCATGTAAAGTAAGTAAAAATTAATGAAATACCTGCCTTAATTTTACTGGGTATATTAATGAACTATAAGATTTATTGGAAGACGTTTGCAGTTTTGCATCCATAAAAACAGATGAAACCAAGTATGGTTGATTTTATTTAAAGTTTGATTTGAATACTTCTTTCACAGGTCTTTCTTAAATAAATAGATTCTTCCTCTCTGGTCTCCCAAGTACTATCACTTTTATTCCTCTAAATGAAGAAATCAGTGTTTCCTATAGCTCTTCTATATTGCTGGAATATATACACACACTCAAGAAGAAAATTTCCCTTCCACAAAGGTAAGATCCCCTTTTACTTCTTCAGGGGATTGACTTGTGTAATTTAAGGTTCTATCACCTGTGTTTGATTTTGGGGAACTGAATGACAAAAGATGAGCAGTAAGTAGCATATGCAAGCCTCCTAAGGTAAGCAGTTTTGCTTAGACTTTTACTTTTTTTTTCATTGGCTGTACGGTAGTCAGCCTAAAATAGTGTGAATTGTCTTTGGCAAACATGCCAAACAGGGCAAAGAAATTCATCTTACCAGAAGAAAAGTTCTGGCTTTCATGTTGTTTTGTTTGTTTGGTTGGTTTGGTTTGGTTTGGTTTGTTGTTGTTGTTTTGTTTATTTTTTTCTTTCTGTTTTTGGGGGGGGTGTTGGTTGGTTTTTGTGTGGTTTTTTTTTGGGTGTTGTTTTTTTTTTTTGTGGGTTTTCTGTTTTGGGCTTTTTGGTGGTTTTTTTTGTTGTTTTGTTTTGTTTGGGATTATTTTTTACATTTTGGAAGAAAACTATTCCATCCAAATTGATGGAAATTTAGAATAAATGCGCATTGAATTTCCCTGAAGTCTACTTATACTTTGCATCCAGAATGCAGCTCTGGTCATCTGCTGTGTGTTACTTTTTTGCCAGTGATGTACAGAAGAACAGAGGTGGAAGAGGGATGGGATCCCAGATGGATGGTTATCCCCTAGCTTTCAGTAGGTTAGGTGCCCAGTTGAACTGAGGTATTCAGTCCTGTCATGGTGCAAAAGAAAGTGGCAATTTTCCAAACCTGAGTAGAGGAGAGACTTCTGCTGGAGTTTTGAGCTACTGAGCTCAGAGTTCCTGAAGCTCTTTCTGGGCTAACCCAAGTTACAGCCTTTAACTTGCCGTATCCTACACCTAAAGCCACTTTCTAACACAAACTTGAGATGGAAATACTTGGGAAAGGAAAAACCTGAGGAGAGTTCAAACACAGGCAGCATGTAGTAAAATGATACTTGGCTTCAGGCAGTGATGCAGGACAAGACATAATAAATCTATACAGGGATAATAGGGTATGAAGGGAGAAAGAAGAGTGAGACTTTGATTTCCTGCAGTTTCACAATGTCAAGATGGACAAAAGGATAATTATGGGTGCACTGGTATGAACAAACATGGGATTTTACATTCAGGCCACTTTCTATAGCATCGTTTACGTCAACACATACCTAAGGAAACATTTAAATCTTTTCTTCCTCTGCAGCATATCTGAGAGTCATGGGTTTCTTTGTAGTTCTTCAAACAGTGCTCTTGTCCAGCTCTTAATTCATTAAACACTTGACTAGAACCAGACTTCTTAATTGGGACATCATGCATTATAAAGGAGCTAAAATTATCTCTGCCATCATTCTCAAAGATGAAAATGAAATCACCAAAATGACCGGACCCTGTCATCATTTAACCTTGAACAGGCAAGAATGGTAAATGGGAAGTGCACCAACATTTATAGATTTTCATACTCTTCTGATTAAAATAGTAAAAAATCACTGCATAGTTTGAATACAGTTTTTCAGGAAGATGAACTTCATAGTGTAGTTGGCTTACTACACCTCCATGGCAATTTTTGCATTCTTGTATGATGCCATTTATTTTGTAATTCACAATTTCCATTGTCATCAGTGCATTTCCTTCTACTTTCATCTCTAGCTTTGTTTAAATTGTGTTAGTAAGTGGTTCAGGGCTAAGTAACGTTTTACATATTAGCTTGATTAGGAAATCTTGTTACAGTTTTGCCTTGGCTTCATGAGTGTTACTCATTTTCCAAGCACTGATTTTGAGTTTTGTTCAAATGTTTATGCTTCTTGGAAACTTATTTAGGCTATTTTGGACTGAGAGTGAGTCTAGCTATCTGGACAGACTATTCTGAAAAAAACCAGCTTCTGAAATTCTAATGTACCTAGCATTTTCATGTGATGCTCTCATAAACAAGTTTAGAGTAGTAAAGTAGCAGTAAGTTAAGTGCCTATTTGGTGAAATTAAATATAGTTGACTTGTCTCTGCAGGTGATATGCATGAGCATATCAGAGTTAAAATGATTTTTTAACCTAAGGTACACAGAGTTCAGCTTTAGATATACCCAGAAGCATATTCCTCCCTCTAGTAGCTTAAAACTTCTGTTTTGCACTCAGCTACTTCAAATTTCATGTGTTCAGCCAAGGATATAGTGAGTTCTTGATGTCTCTGTATTGTTTAGTGGCTGTAAAACTATGACTACTTCCATAATTATACATTTATTATACTATGGAAGCTTTTTTGTCTTAATACTCAAACTTCCCTGACAGACTTTCTTTTCTTAGAATGACATTTTGCCTACTTGGGTCTCACAGTTACAAATGTTCAGGCATCAGACATTTGTAGCAAATATCCTAATTCTCCTCCTCCCTTAGTTGATGTTTGAGCCTGCAAAGTTTTGAAGTTTTTTTGTTTGTTTATTTGTGGGTTTATTTGTGTGTGGTTGGTTGGTTGGTTGGGGTTTTTTACACTGAGTATCTTTTTATGTGTATAAGTAATGCATTGACTTCAGCTGATTCTATTTCAGTGAGAGAGTACTTTTCTGGGAAAAGGGTTGCTAAGAGAGATGTTTGCAAATAGTCTATGAAACACCAGTGTTGGCTATTTAAATAAAAATAGCATGAGAAGCAGTCCAACATTGCAACAGCTAAGAGCTGAGGGGATTGGAA